TGTTGTCAGGGCTTCCAGGCACTAACAGCCCCATGACCTTGACCAGCCTTAGCTGAGGTTTCTGCCCACGCTGTGCCCAGGGCTGCTAGAGCTCCATTTAAGCTCTGGTCTGGCCCTCAACCTCCTCCTTCCCCCTCCCTTTATATGTTCCCGTGTGGTTTTGCAGAGCTGTGTGCTCTAGTGGCTCATAGACTGCTTTTCTGGCTTGGTTTATACCAACCTGGTTAGTGGACTTTGCCAGGGCTCTCTGCACCCCTGGCTGTTCTCTCTAGTTCCCCTGTGCATCTCACCTAGGGCTAAAGCCTGTGTGGTTCCTGCCCTGCAGCCTGGCTGGGTTGTTTGTCCCTTGGGAAGCAGCTGGACCTCACCACTCTTTAGACGACAGTTTGTTAGAGCCATGACTGCTGCATACTTTGATAAGGCAAAGTTTCCTGATAGTAATATCTCTTTTTAGAATTAATTTTTTGTGATCCAATACAAAATGCTTGAATTCGCATCTACTTTTTAAGGATTAAATGCAATTGAGGCTGTACATAATAAGCAATCAAGCTTGCCTATTGTGACAATATTGTGCCGACAAAAATACGTGTAGATGCAAAACCACATAAACAGCAGAAAATTATGCAATATTTTGGTGTTTTTCTCTGGATATTATTCTGCTCTCTAAGTCATGAGGGTCTTTTCCTAAACACCCACTAGAAACAAATTGAGATATACTGGACAGAGTTACTATATATAGCATTAATACTGTATCAAATGATATTACTCTGAGGCATTGGAATGTATTAACGAATACCTTCTAAGCAGTCTGTTCACAGAGAGCTGTTAGTGACTCACACCTGAGCAGAGCTAATGAGGACAAATTGAGTTCTGTTGATCTGATAATGGTTGCCACAGTACCAGAGTAGGTATGTTTCCATGAGAAAATCAGAGATCACTCACTAGAAAGGTTAAAGGGCAGCTTCTGTGTCATTGGTGGTGGTACACAGCAATGGGAAAGGCCTTTCCAGAACATGTCACAGCACAAGTGATCCTCCCCTGCAGGACTCCAGCCTATGCCTCCATTTGCCTGGTAAAATTAAGCAGCACAAGTCAGTTGGCTTAGAGTGGCTTCTGTCTGCTATGGAACAACAGCCTTCTATGAGTTGGTAACGGGAAAAATATTACTTATTTTGGCCTTAGCAGATGCAAAAGTAAATGATAGTTTTTGTTTGGTAGAATATGAAATGTAGAAAACACACCTGACAATAGCCTTTTGTAGGTGACACTGGGCAAATTCCTTGCTTAGGCTGTCCTGGTTTCCAGCTCCCAGTGAGCAAACTCTGCTCTCAGCTACAAACACAGAAGCTGCTGCTATGCATAGTCTGGATTGGTACTGCTGTGCCCAGCACCTGGTCACTGCATGAAGGTGCACAGTGAGATGTGAGGCGTTTATCTTCTCTTTTTATAACATCACGCTGTGTGTCACTAGTATTCCTCCCAATGTTGTATCATGTATTTCTTCCAACCTTTTATATTTTTTTATTCCTCCTCCCTGTTAGCTCCTTGCTTATGATCTTTTCCCTTTCCATACTGGTGTGCATAGTGGTGGATGCTCGTGTAGTGACACGTACAAGTCATCCTGTGACACACAGGCCACCTACTTTGCTCTTCCTCTTCCCCAGTGAGCCATTACAGCAAGGGCAGGTCCTGCTGACCTTTGTCTGTTGCTCATGACTTGCAATATAATTGATTTTCTCAGAGCCCCTGTTTATTCACCAAATATTGCCTCTTCCACATGGCACTCAACAACATTTTGTTTTTCACAATCACAGAACGAGGAAAACAGGTGACAGTCACTGTTGCATGAGAAGAAAATGGAAGTTCAGGAATTCAATATGCCATATCCATAGTCTCAGTGGGGATATGTTATTTTTGCGAGTTAGAAAGAATATCTGTTAACATATAGCTATGTGTAGATAAACTGAAACTATTTTACCTTTGCAATGAATTTTTTGTTTTGCTTTATCTGCAATCTTTATCAATACAAATTCATATTTTCTAATTATGCCCAATATAGTCACCTAATCCTTTTTAAAATATATTTTGCAAACCTATAAAATGATCGTGTTTAGAGTATTATAAGTTTATCTCAAAATATTTATTCTAACATTTTAGTTAAGGCTGTGAACTAGGATAAAAAGTAAATTTGTGCTATTTGAAGGTGAGCTTGCTTTGCTCTTACTGTATAGGATCATAAATATACAAATGAGCCACAAGTTGTTTTGATTAAGCAGCAAAAGGAATTTGGAAGACAAGAAAGGACAAATATTTATTCAAATAGTTGACATAGTGACCATTTGAATATATTGTTTTGGTAATTCTAGAGTCATTTCAACACAAACTGAGAGGAAGACAGAGGTTTTCTTCTATAATGTTTAGGTCTACACATAAGTAGTTTTTCTTTCTGAAAGCCTCAAGAATTTTTTTTCTACTTACTATAGTGATGGAGCTGTTTCCAAGGCCCAGGGCAAGGATCTACATGGAATGCAATGGGTTCCATAACTCCAAGAAATGAAAGACAGGGTGCTGTGGCTGAACTTTGTACCTTTATCCTAATAGAGGCTTTACCCTTGATAGGATATAACATACTTGTGAAGGGTGACAGTGTGTGATTGCTCTCTGCCCTGGAGGGCTTGTTATTTCAGAGTAAACAAGCACCCTGTGTGCATATGATGCAGGGCCAAAGAACTGATTAGACTGTGTCAGGGTTCTCATTACTCTAGTTACAGGAAATTTAACATTTTGCTTTCATTAATCAATCAGGTGCAGCTCTGTTACTGATAACTTTGAGATGTTGAACCAAAATGCAGTTTCTGCAAGGGGCCTCTGCAGGATACTTCCAATTTTGCTATACGTTATTCAGAATGCTGATTTATGAGCCAAATGTTGTTCTGCACTGTTTCAATGGATTTTAAGTTTGTAGTTTAGCCAAACATTTTCTCTTGAGTAGTAAAGGCTTTTGTTGCGATGAAAGAATAACCCCATGATCATCAGATTTGTGTAGTTGAATTTGGTTTGGGGAAATAATTATACATAAGTGGAATCTGTTGAAGAGGTATGTCTACCTCCATTTCAGGACAAAGATAAATAAAGAAGTATTGGGTTTCTCTCTTAAATGTGAACGTTTTCTATTGATGTTCAAGAAGTGAAATTTGGTGGTTATCATGTGATTTAACAGAAGTATTTTGTTTGCCGGACCAGAGATTTGATTTTTTTTCAGTTTGGCCCTTTGGCAGCTATATCTTGCAGAATCTTTTTTCTCTGCCACTTCTCCCTGTACTGTTAAGTGTAAGTTGAAATTTTCTGTTACAATTGACCATAAATCAAGAAATTGCAGAATATTTCATGGTTATGTTTAACAGTGAAGACACATGGTCTTAAGTTTGTGTAAAACAAAGGATAAAACCATCGTATTTCCAACCCTTTTCCTCACGAGAGCCCATGCCAGCTGTACAGATGGATGACAGTGCTGTTATGTGTTCAATGAAATAGTAAGTGCAAATGTCCATATTTCGCAATTTTATGAACAGTAAAGGCTTTAGAGTTGTCATTTTCCATGTAATTTAAATTATGCATATTTTAGAGACCAGCAAAAACAAAGCACATGTGGAATAAAAAGCCTTGCTAAAAGCAAGAGACAAATACATCTGAACTGAGTGTTAAAAGCATTGATGTAGTTTGTTATTCAAAAATCTTATACCGCCTCTGCTGGGCTACTGTGGCATGAGTGGGAATTAACAGTCTGTGTGGTAAAAACTGCTACTAAGGTAATACCTAAAGCACTTGACACTAGTATTTTTCAAAACCCTGTGTAGTTTCTAGTAGTAGGCTAAGGCTATTTTTACACTCCAAATACTGTTATTTTCTGAGTGCTCATCTTCCTTTCAAAAAGGATGATTTCAATGTAACATAGCCAGACCTATGGATTATGGGGGAGAATGGAATTAACAACATTTAAGTCATTTCAGCAGCTGGAGTAAGACCTTCCTGATCTCTGCTTTCCAAGGTAGGTACCACAAGGCACTTGTGTTGTTTACTGTAATGCTGCTTTTTGAAACCTCCCGGGGGGCTAATGCTTGTGAGTGCTTATCTCCGTTTTCCAATGTGCTGTAAAGACTCAGTCATAGAATCTCTAACCTGCACCAGTATCACATGAGGAATTAGGTGTGTGTGTGTAAACAGCAGCTTCGCTTGACTTATTAAATCTGATGTGAGCTAATCTAGGCTGCTTTCTAGTATACAATTTTTCTACACTTAAACATTTGTCCATCTGCAATAAATTTATAACACTTGCAAGTGTTAATTACAAGAGAAAAGATATTCTAAGTAGTGATGGTGTCAGCTAGGTACATTCCTAAGAAGATGGCAGGTCTTGAGGGTCAGCTTCATCTCCGCGGTTTTGGCAGAGGAAAACGTACTTCATATGTTAAATGATCTATTGACTAAATTCTGACTTTAAAACTACCTGTGATCAAGTCTGAAGTATATGCTACCTGCAGGGGTATAATTTTGGAAGATAATATTTGCAGGGTTATAACTGATGTCATAGTGAAAGGCAACTGAAATAGACGCAAAGCCAGGCTTTCCAGGAAGCTGATACACTTTCAGCTGAGCAGTATTAGAAATAATAGGTCCTTAGCAGCGCTCTTGCCTGTTACACAGCCTATTATCATCATGCACGGCCTGGGAAGAACAGCTTGCCCCAGGTGTCCGGGCGCACCTGGAACAGAGCAGCCTGTGAGTTCAGTGGCACGGAGGAGGCAGCGCTGGTGTCTCCGCGGTCCCAGCGAGCCTTTGCTGCTCCCGGCCGGGCGTGCGGCTCTCGGTGCCGGGCTCTGCAGGCTGCTCTCAGCAGAGGGCACTCTGTTCCTAGCGATGGAGCAGGCGCCTTCCCGTGCTGGTGAGAAACCTAAACAGATTGGAAAAGTTTCCAGTGCAACATATTTGAACAAACTCTTCATCGGTTATGTTTAGTTCACTGGAGCATATTTTTAACTTCAGTGGCAGGGATCAGAGCCCTTTCTCTACGTGCTGCTCTTAGCGGACTCGACGAAAGCTTGGAACATCACTGGAAGCCGTAGTGCAAAGGTAGAGGATTTTGGCGTTCCTGTTTAGCAACTCGAAGCTCAGAGGGGGAACGAGAGCAAAGCCGTCGTATGAGACATATTCGCCAGATTTACAGTAGGAAACCTAAAAATATTGTAGAGGGCAGCATGATTAAAGACCTACTCGGTGTGCGAGCAGATTTGCAGCTGTATAGTGAGAGTTACTTGCAGATGAGACACAGGATGGTTGTGGTTTTGGAAGCTGCTTTGCATCAGATTCGGGGGCTGACTTCACGGTAGCTTTTGCCCCTCGGGGGAAGACGAACCACTTGGTCCCGGGCTGCCGGGGTCTCGGCCCCCCGACATCGGAGCGTCGCCAGTGCCGCCGCAGCCGGGAGGGGGGAACGGGTCCGCTTGGCCGCCCGCCCGCTCTGGCTCGCCGGGGAGGCAGAGGCTGCGCGGGGGGTGCCGAGCGAGCGGCGGAGCGGGGGCCGGGCCGGGCCGAGCCGGGCCCCGCGCCGCAGGTGGAGGCGCCCGGGCGGCTCCGGCCGGGGCCGGGCTGCGGCGGGCGGGCGGGGGCGGCCCGCTGCCAGCAGCCTGTAGGACCTTGGCTGAGGCGCGGCGGTGGGCTGGAGCCTGGCCTGAGGGAGGGGCCGCCGCTCGCGGGGCAGGATGCTGCATCCCCGGTGCCGTGACAGGCGAGGCTCTCCCGTGCGCCGGCGGTGCCCGGCCCGCTCCCCGCCGCCCTCCCGGCCCCGCTGCGCGCTCCCCGCCGGCCGCACCAGGTGGGTGAGCTCGGCGGCCGCCCGGGGCGGGCAGGGCAGGGCACGGCAGCCCCCGAGTCTCTGCCCCGACCCGGCTCCCTCGGCCGCCGAGCCGGGGTCGCTCCGGAGGAGTCTCCGGGAGGGCGCGGGTGCTCGAGGAGCCCAGGCACCGGCACCTGGGAAATACCGGAGCCTGGTGTATTCGGCCACTTGGGGCTCTCGGCATGCCTGGACAAGGGGGGAAAAAATAAGTCTTCCTTCTTTTATTGTCATAGTTGATACTTTCGAATGACAAAAGCATCCAGGAGTGCTAATGATTTTGGGAGGTGGAGAACTTTAGGATGTTTTTGGAGGGAGGGAATAAAGCGCTTCTTTCTGTAAGGAATCTTAATTATGTTCAGTTGAACAGGTGCAAGAACTGTTTGGCTAGATGGCTTTCCTTTGGGATGCCTGCGTTTTTAGAAAGTAGCACTTTATTTGAAGAAGTTTGCATTCGCTGTGGGACTTGGCAAACTTGTGGGGTGGTGGCTGAGGGGAGGGAGCGCTTTTTGTGTGAATCTGTGTGTGGGTGCATGAAACTTGCACTGTTTTGAGATCGTTCTGGTAGTAAGGTAATAAGGTGTGTTGACACGTGGATTTAATACAATTAGTAGTATTATTACATGATGGAATTTTGGGCAATTTTAAATTGACAAGCCCATGCTGGCCTTTTAATTTTGATGATCACTAAATTAATGGATTTTTTTTCTTTTTGCCCTAAACTGATTAAGCCCTGATTGTTTAGTCTCTGAGCTTTCAAAGGCAGTGCAAATGACTGGTGTAATCACAGAGCTGGGCTTTCATCTTTGAGTGCTGGAAAGTACATCAGGAATTTTATGCTCCTTGGATTTTACCTTCTAGACATCAAGATGGGAGGGATTCCCAATTTGATAAATTCTCCTATTCAAGAGATAATCAGGCTTGTCCACTATTGCCAGCTTCCCCGAACCTCTCATTTTGCTCCTTTTCTGTGCCCTAATTGGAGCTGCCTCACCCTGCAGGCTGTGCTCATGGCATGCGCTGCTGCTCTGGCCAGCACAGCGCTCCGGTGTTTGCACTGCACTGCTTCCAGCGGCCGGCCCGCTTTGCTTTAGTCATTGAAATTCTGGCGGAGCCCACTTGATTTGTGTTTGTAACTTGAAACAATTTCTCTCAGCAGAGCCCCAAGGCATGAGGATGGCCAGCCCTAAAGCCACTGGGCTGTCCTGGGAGATCACTTGGCTTGCTTTTGCTCTCTATGCTCATCTACAGGTAGGTAGTGGACTTGTTGCTGTTGTCATTCCTGGTCCTCTATCAGGTGACTTTGAATTACTGTTTTAGAACAGAAAACTGCTGAAGGAGCTACTCTGTAATTAAAAGTCTCCCAATGAGAAGGTTTTCCTTTCACCAAACTTTCAAAGACGTCCATGTGAGAAATGAATATTCTCTCCCTTGCTCATTATATTGTACCTGACTTTATCAAAGGGTGACTGAAGGGGGATCTTGCTAGATGTGTAATGCCATTTCTAGGCAGCACAGCTGCTCTTTGCCCCTGGGAGTTTAAGCACTTGATAAATGTTGAGGTGCTGTAAGTGACAAGGGTTATAGAAATACCTGGATAGAAACATCTAAAGCATTTGGGGGTGGGAAGGTGCCCAAAAAGGTCTTTGCTTCAAGTGTTCAGTGAGTACAGGAACCATGGAGAAAAAAACCATAGCTGCCATCTGATCTATTGCCTGACACATGAGCCTAATCAGTTCCAAGAGGTGAGTATTTCAAGAAATATGGTGTGCTAGCATGCTGTGGAGATGTTACAGTATGTCATTCTCTATACCGATAGATCCCACAGCACAAAATATTTCAAGGATTCTTCAGTCTAAAATACAAATAAATCAAATAAATCCTTAGAAAAAGATGACTAAATAAACGGAGATTTATTTTTTAAAATAAATAGGAACTTTTTTTAAGCTTTGTGGTAGTTTTCAACAAAAAGTTAAGTCTTTAAATAAAATCAGTGTTGTTGTGTACTGTGTGTACTATTGCAATGCTGAGAGGTGGAGCCTGATGTGCTGGGCAGTATATAAACATACATCCTGAAGTGGTTTGAATTGAAGAGCAATACAGCAGACAAAAGTAATATCAAAAGGAGTACGAAGAACTGAGGAGAGTGTACTAGGCTGAGTAAGCTGTGATCAGTTTATGGTGGACTTTGAGGTTCAAGGTAGTGGGAATGGGCTCCAATGCATCCTCAGCAGCACTGCTGAATGCTGTGAGTGATTTGGCAGGTGATGGACACCTCCTTTCTGTGGATTATGGTTGCAGCTAACCAGTACACTGGTTACTTGAGTAAAGAACTTGCCATTAAAGTAAAAATTTACATCTGTATTAATTGTGCAGTAAAACCACAGTGCATTCAACACATAGCTGAGCAGACAGGGTCACAGCGGGATCTGCTCTTTGCCTGTTTCTTATACAAGGACAAAAACAGATTGGCTGTGCCTGTTCAGCTTGTAATTTTGTGTGCAAACACTTGAGTGATGCTGTAATAACCAGCCCTGTAAAACACTCAGAAAATAGTTCAAGAAGTTCCCTTAATAGTTCTCTTCAAGATGAGGATAGAAGCTCAGAGAAGGGAAAAGTTAATTTTGTTTTGGTGCCTTTTGGTTATGAAGGGACCATTTTTTGCCTTTAAAGTATTTTTGTTGTATTTTTTCTTTCATATTTTTCTTATTGCAGAGCTGGAACCAGTAGTGGCATAGTTTCCTCTTCTCCACGAATGGTTTGGCATAGCTTCACTTGTCTCTTTATAATAAAAACAGCCCAAATGCATTGTAGTAATCAATTGGTTATTGTGAGTAGCTTTATGAACACTTCAATCCAGGTCAAATTTTATGGTCTTGATTGTCCTTTAAAATACTGTAATCTGTTTGGCATATTTGAGTCATTAGCACTTAACCCCAATCTTGTAGGAGGCCTTTTTGCTCCTGAGTTTTAGGTGTTTTATCACAATTTTAGGCACATTAAAGATATTTTATATTATTTAACATAACATTTTTGGTATCCAATAACCATTAATTCTTTAATTGGTTGCTTGAGGCCATGCTAAATGGACCACACACAGTCATTTTACCCTAATATTGTACCATAACTTCCACTTTTGTTGTTTTTGGCTATTAAAGTGCTTATGTCTGGAGCTAATCAATTAGAAACAATTGGATGCTGGGCAAGGTCACAAGTCTATGTCATATCACTTAAGTGCAATTGATTAATTTCATCCTGCTTGAGGCAGGTACAGAATAAAAAAAATGACCATTTAAAAAGAATGTGGTGGGAATGTGGTATGAATGTAACGCAAAGAAAACTTTAACATGAGAAGTTGTGAAAAAGAGAAGCAGTGAGTAAGTTCCACTGAGAAGCAGTGGAACTTAACTTTGGTTATAGCAGTCCTTTCTGATTCTCCACAGCATGGTAACCAGCAGTGTGGCATTTAGCTGGGCTCCAAATTTCTCTCTGCTCTTGCAGATGTGCTGTGTCTCAAATTTGACAAAATTATTTTGCCAATGGCAAATTACTTGCTATACTAGCAGGCATAGTAGGTAAATTAGGTTATCAGTAGGTAAATTACTACTAGGTGAATTAGGTTTCCTAGGATAACCCTGGGAATAGTTTACCCCTGAGTATTTTTGAGCTGCCTGATGGTTAAATCTGCTCTGTGACCAAGAGCAGTGACCTAAATCACTCAGGAAGAGATAACTTAGGGGTAAAGTTTGGCCATGTTCTTTTGCAAATACAGAGCTGACCTTTTCTTTTATGTGGCAATATAAATGAAATTAATGGAACTGCATTAGTCTAAAGCTAGTGGTAATACAAGCAGATTACATATGTATGTTTTTCTTGAAAACAAACAAGATACTCGTCTATCAAATGGTAGCAGCAACATGGAATAACTCATTGTTTCTAAAGATTTAAATGATGGCTCTATCCAAGAAGTTACTGTATTCTACAGATTTTGTGTATTTGGGAATACTACATCCTTAGCCTTGAATTTATTGCTAAATGTTGTTTAAAAGGCTCCTCATTTTCCCTCACATTGTAGCAGGAGAGCTATTAATTCTACAGATTTTAGGAGTTGGTTAAGCTAACAAAGTAGAAGTGTCCAAGCCCAGTTCTGCTGTTTTGAAGTGATCTCTTGAGTACACATTGCTTCATATTGGTAATTGAAAAGGCAGGATGTTCAGCCTGGTAACCAACTCTTTCTTAACCTTGTGATGATATTTTATTACACCATTCAGCTAGATGCTGTTATATTTGTTATGATATGTATGTGGGACTGTATATCTTTATAGTCTTACTAATGGATTACTGGCAGGAAGAAATGATGGCTAGCAGATTTGTATGGGCAAATATATATCAAGAATTTAACACATGGATTCATTTTAGATTTATTCTCTGGTATGTTGTTTCCAAATCAGGAATACACTGACATTTTCTTAGGTTCCTATAGTCCAAATTAAACCCTCTACAAGTCAGTACATTTTGCCTCCAAAGACCATGGGGTTGGTAATGTGTGCAGAGGGAGTAAGAGCAAAGACACCAAGTCTGGATATTTAAGAAGCATTAGGTCTTGATTTCTATGGAAGGGAAAGTTTCATAGGTCATAAATTCATTCAATAAACTGTTGGTTGCTTCCATGATTTATGTTCCTGCAATCCCTGCCTGCATTATGGTCTTTTCTAACTATCTGTGATATTTTGGAAATGAAAGATATACATACTGAAAACATTATTGTCTTCAAAATGATTCTGCCATAACCAATCTGCCAAAAACTACCAACATAGTAAATGTCTTTAAGGCTGAGCTTTGCAAGGCCAAAAATCTGATGTCCATTATATGACATAGTGGACTTGGAGACCATCTTTGTGGAAAACCCTTGGATTATGGTTTTACAGTCACTGAATGTTTTGCACACTGATGTCCAGAAAATAGATTATGAGCTACATGCCATGCAACATTGTTAAGTCTCCAGTAACCTTGATCAGAAATGCCAGGGTGAGATTGGCAAGCCTTGAGTTAAATTTGAAGCAGTTTCTGTAGGCAGGTGCCAATTCTGCACCCATCTGGAGTTTTGCCATCAGCCTCAAAAGGCCTGTGGTTTTATTCTTAGTGTGAAGATTGAGTTGCTGCTTCTAAAGACAAATAACACATCTGAGACTCTGTACAAGTATTCTGACTGAAAATATTCATTGCTATTGACAAGGTTGCAACTCAGTGACTGCATTACCAGAGAACTTATGTTTAAGTTTCTGAACATGCTTGAAATTTATGACTGATAATGATTGCTCAGCCAGTGCTCATAGAATCTGAACTGCTGTTGCCCTCAGTTTACAATCCAATAGTGGAATTGCCTGAAAAATTGATGCATGTGTCTTGTGACTTGAGACACAAACTATGTATGAATACTTACTTTTTAAAATGTGTCATAAAAAATTAGTCTGCTATGGGAGAGGACTAAGAGTACAGATGTCATCAATGAAGGCACCCCTTAACTATCTAAGTTATTTGTTATGATGATAATTTCTCATGAAGTTACAACTAAAAGTTGGACAGAAATTCTCAGATCAGTTGTGTGTAGAGCTGCAATTTTTTGTTTACAAAACCAGATATCTAAGAGTCTGGTACACTTAGAGAAGCCTCTAGAATAGGAATAATTTCTAGCAACTGCCCGTGGCTTCTAATTTCTCTTCAAAGAGTAGTCAAGAAAGGAAAGAATAGCTCTAGGATGATCTTTGGTTTAGAAGACATTTGAATGCTTAGTCACTGATAATTACTCATTCAGGTCTGTTTGGTGCAGCTGCATCCTTCATATTCCTTACCAAATTGGGGCATAAACAGCACTGAGGTGGCAGTTTTGCACAGTGCACCAAATTCCATTCCTGCCTTTGCATCACAGAAAAAGTACATGATTGATTGTACTGATATTAAAGCTCTTACTCTCCATCCAGAATTCGAGATTTAGCCATTCAAAATAATGCATTTTGCTTCAAAAGAACATGCATTTTAAAATTTGAGTCCTTTTTATTTGCTGTTACTTCTATAACCTGTAGGTCTACGTAGTTGTTTTTGCATTCAGTTTTTGGATTTGAAGCTATTCTTTAAATATTTCTGCTTGCTCACCTGAATCCCCAGGAGCTCCAATATGGCTTGCAGTCAAATAGTAAAGTGAATTCAGGGATCGTGGAAGCAGATTCATAACTGTGCCTCTGTAGTTGTTG